ATGCCCAATCCGGGATCTGAAGACTGAACCCGAGATCCCCTGCCCGGCAACCCCTCGGCACCAATGGAGGCAGTTAACTACCACTTTTCGCAAATATAATTTCTAAATTTTGCGTAAGCGGTGCAGTCATTTGTGCAATTTAACGTAAAATATGATTGTACTTAATTAAAAATTTTATACAGAATTCAACCATGTTCCTTTCGTATCAAGTTTCATTTTTACAACAACTCTATAGTGTGATCTATCTCCGTGCCAAAATTCATAAAATTCGGTACTCAATGCAGTTTAGGCGATAAAGTTCTTAAAACAAATGAACTGTAAATTTGGGATACATACCTATAGGCATGTATTTATTTGTAAACAAATAGTACCTTGATGTTCCTAAAGGGACTTTCACTGTTGCGTTATAAACTACTAAATGTCAGATTTGCCCAATCCCCGCGTCGAACGCACGACCCCTAGGTCAGATTGCAGCAGAGAGGAAGCTTACATTAACGTTGATGATAAAGTATCTTAATATTAGATACCTTGGTTTTATATTATTGGCGCCGACCATGGGGTAAAAATATGTATATGGAAAATAGAAGACCGTATAATACACCATTAATATTTTGAAACATTAATGGCATTAAAAATGTAAATATTTGATATTCGTCATTTGTTTGAAGAGGTGCAGTCTAACATAATAATGTCAATGACCTAGATATTTACCTACTTTGTGTGTAATGAAATGTGTACCTAGATAGCACGTTTTATTAAACTAAACATCATTAACAAAGAATTAAAAATACGTATCATTCATTATACCAAAACAACTTGCCACAAGGAGTAAGTACGTATAATGTATAAGGTAAAACAAATAAAGACACAATTTTTTTGTTTAAAAAAATCATTGGCATACGCACATTACTAGACGTGATTTGTAGCCACTTTTCGCATCGCACGTGCCACCCGACGAGAAATATCTCTGCGACCATAACATGGTGTGATGTTTTGATAAAATGTACTATGAGTTCGCATGCGCTTTCAAAGTTTGCTTTTTTCAGTAGTATTATTTCTTTGTAAGGCTATTGTCTGCTTTTTAAGGTATTACCATATTATATTACTAAATCAGAACCGTTTTACTTCGGGCGGCGCTTTGATTGCCCGTCTCCAGACCAACAAAACGCATATTCGTATCGATTACGTATAACATACTCGTACTAACACTCTGATCGGCCGGCTCCAATAATCCAACCAATCAGAGAGTCGAAAGCAGTCTCATTTCAATATCGTTGAGCGTAAAATAAATTCGTACTAAGCCCATCAAAGTACGAATAGGTACGTACTGCTCTACTTAAATATGGTTGAAGTAATGGCTATCACTCACAAAAAATCCTTCTACGTCTTTAGATATAACTTGACTCTTATAGCCATATAAATAAATACAACATTATGTCGTTAGAAGGTTTAAGATAACGCTATTTTATGGTAAACAAATATTGAGGAACGTAAACCGGTTTTTCTAGAGATTTTTTTAAATACATAGCTACGAATTAAAACATTTTATTAAACGAAGAGTTGAGGTATTCCACAAAACGCACCTGTTTTAAAACGCACCTATTTTATTCCACGAAACGCAAAAATATCTTTTTGCTTTTGGCACTATAATGTGTACCTATTCAGAGACGAATGTTCTCACTTTTGGTTAAGCAACTTCGATGATATCGATGTACAAATGATTTCTTTAAATTATTATCGATATATTTTATTATGTTTACTTAATTCTCTTCCCTAATTTTAAACATGGGTGCGTTTCGTGGTATAAAATAGGTGCGTTTCATCAGGTGCGTTTTAAAACAGGTGCGTTTTGTGGAATACCTCGAAGAGTTTAGTTCGGGTCTGGGTGTCATGTGTATGTGAACTTATATGTATATATGTATGTTTGTAAACGCACCCACGATACAGGAGAAAACCTTAAAGTGATGCAACGGTTTTTTAAAAAAAACAAAAAAGTAGACTTCTGTATAATTATGATAATTACTGTTTGTGGCTACTTCCAAGACAGGACACAAAATACGAATTGATACACAAGCTCATGTCAAATAACATACACAATAACCTCACGCTGGTCCCCCACGCAATAGGCAGAGACTATGGAACGCCAATTGCTACGATTCTTACATACGTCTTTCGCTTCCTCAACAGTCATCATGTCTTATCATGCATTTGAGTTTTAACTCGTCGAGCACCGTCAATATAGACACAATTAAAGAACAATAGGTTGCGGTCACCGGTGACCGCTTGGTGTTTGACAGTTTAATTAACAAAATTTTTAGAGGCCATTTTTTGCCATTTCAATTTACCCGCTAAATTAATGCCATTAAAGACGTTCGAAAAAATATTTACGGCTTTTTATAGTACACATCGGCATATCAAACTTGTAATTTTTGAGGTGTGAGTATAATACTTTGAATTTGTCAAGAGTCTGAGCACTGACGAACTAAAAACCACCCCGTTCCTACTACTGTTTCCAGCCAGGCGAATTCCTAATAATCCGTTAAGTTTTGCGGCCCCGTATCAACTTTTATAGACTAGTTTTCCGCCTGCCACTTTTTTTTTTATGGCATAAGCCGATAAACGGGCAGACGGATCACCTGATGGTAAGCAATCGGCGTCGCCCATGGACACCTGGAACACCAGAGGCGTTACAAGTGCGTTACCGGCCTTTTGGGGATTAGGAGTTTGAGGATCGTTGGGGATTAAGGTATTGGGGAGATTGGGGAAGGGGAGGGTAATTGGGCCTCCGGTAACCTCATTCACACGACGAAACACAACGCAAGCGTTGCTTCACGTCGGTTTTCTGTGAGGCCGTGGTATCACTCCGGTCGCATGGCTCTCCCACACTTAGCCACTTCGTAAGTGTGGTAAGGACGTTATTATAATTAATTCACACATAATTATAAATCTTCCTCTTGAATCCATTAAAGATCTATTTATTAAAAACCCATATCAAAATCAAATGCGCAATTTGTAATAGATAGGATCGGATAGAGGAAAGCCATAAGAAAAGCCCTTTTTGTTTTTATACTACCTATGTAATGATTTCGATCGTTATTGTACTGGATCATAAAGTTGATTATCCTTTGAAGATTTTTTTTTTATTTTATAGTAGATTTAGTATCTAATGGCGTCAATATTAAAAAAACATCGTTATTTTCTGAGAAGCAAATTAATCTATCGGCTTTTTTATGGGTTTCAATCGTTATTTTTATATAACTGGCTATTTATTTTTAAAGAGACCTTGAACCATCACCATATTCTATAAGTTTGAAATCGCCAACCCGCATTGAGCAAGCGTGGTATTAATGCCAAACCTTCTCCAAGTGAGAAGAGGCCTTTGGCCAGCAGTGGCCTTTATAGATTGTTGATAATGCTAATGATGCTCCTGGAAATCCCAGAAGAACGAGAACTATGCGTTAAAATGGTCGAAGATCGTTGAAAAAAATGGGGACTCTTACCTTTTAAACCATTGAACGTATTTGGTGAAATTAGGTACAGCAATAGTTTGAGACCCGAGAAAGGACAGCTAAAAGCTTTTAACCCGAAAATTCTACAAGACCGGAAACCATGCGTTAAAATCCCGAAACATTGTATCTTTTAAATTACTATATCTATTGGATTGAAATTCGGTACAATATTGATTTAGAAACATAGAATATTATTTTGTAGTTTTTATCACTGAAACCTCAAGAAACGGGCACTGGTAAGTACGGGTAAAACCAATGTCAGTGGGATTGTTTATTTTTAAAACTTGGAAAATAAATTCATTTGCGATAAATATAACCTAAGTACTGAATATATTCTGGTGACATTTATTACAATCGTACAGCCGTAGAAATACCTTGGCAAAGACTTATTCAAAAACCCAATTTCAACCAGAAGCCATTATTTTACGTGGATGAAGTTGCGGGTAACAGCTAGTATTTCTCTAAAGAGGCTTATCGTTCATTAGAATTTTTTTTTTGTCTGTGGTTAACACTAATACCTAACTACAAAATACCCCCCCCCCCTTAACGCCGGCACTGGAATTACTGATAAATGAAGTAGAATACTTCTTTGGCATACCTTGACGTGCGATGTCTTCTTAGTGAGAAAACCTAGACTTTTATGACTTGAATCTAGGTAATCTAGACTTGTTGCGGTGTTGTGATGATTGTATCCAATCATCGTAATGATGTCTGTACATGCAATGAACAGATTGTGCATCGTGTTATGTAAACTGTATTACATTAGTAGGTAAGATTTGCAAAACTCATTCTATGTAAAAAAGTCAAGTAATTGCGTTTAAGATGTTAAGGTTTTATGATTTTTTCACTTTTATTTTTGTTATGTAGGTAGGTGTATATACTTAATATTAATAGAATTTTTAGTTGTAAATATTTTAGCCATAGTTATTATTTAGTTTATAAGTATATTTTGTCTATCTATATCTATAAAAAATAAAAATAACTGCAGAAGTGTAAATTCTGTACATTGAAATTATTCTGGGTATGACTAGACAGGCACCGAAGCCAAAAATGTGACTAAATACACTTCGTCCGTCTGTATCATCACACAAAAACTATCAGTCCGATTACGATGAATCACTGGCTACTTTTTATCCCGAAAAGTATGTAGGTACTTTCTATTGTACCTAAATGTTTACGTTTTGTTTTTCTTCTTTTCTTGGGTGAAAATAATTTGTTTCTTTAAAAAAAATTAAATTAAAAACTATTAACGCGAGTAGGCCGACCTCACGATTATTTTTTACTAACGTTGAACATTCAATCCAATATTGTACTTACGATATCAGCATTTACACTCACAGAATCCCAATAGTTACCACAAACATCGATTAAAACTATAATAATTCCGGTAAAATAAATAAGATAATTTTATATGGTGTTTCTAACAAAGAAATAAGAAAGACAACAATGATAATAAGGGACAGCCATAACACACAGCAAATCTTCACTTACTTTAAACTAATAGTATCGATAGACGTTGTCATTGTGATGTAAATGAAAGTGCGCGCGCGCGTTTGTTGCGGCTGGCTAATATCAGAGAACTGAGAACAACCGTGCGCGTCGCCAGTTAGAAGTTGGTATTGCTACGTACAATCCCCGCCTTTTAATTTTAACACGTTCGAGGACGCTACCATTTGAGTCGAGTTTCCAGAATGACACAGTAAATGTCTATACAAAATTATACGACGTATCAGTACGTAGTGTCTCATGCAAAAATATTGTTTTAAACATATCATGACACAACCGTTTTATCACGTCAACGTGTATATGCATCTTGGTAATGATACGCCTCGTTGGAGGTGTCGGAATCATGAAACATGCTTATCATATGCCTTATTTGCGCTTATATCCGTCTAAAACATACAATAACCTATTAAACATCAATTTCACATTGTAAAATCATTAATTTGCATTAAACACATAATACACAGTGACACAGCCGCGTTGAACGTAGGAGCGCGGGACGTATAAATACGTTGTGCGTATGTAAATACCGTAACCGCACTCTATCAACGGCACTTATTTGAAATAGTTCTAAACTTACCCTACGTGACAGTACAGTGTTGGGTATTTTATGTGTTGTGACACAAGATACATTCAAAAGGATTTTTACTTGAACTTTCATCGGAAATGAACGTTCTGCCGTATAATTTAAATGTTATTTGAACGTCATCGTACGTTGTGCCGAATTAACATCTCGAACCATGACGTATAATCTCGTTCTGTCCTCGAACGTGTTAAACTGTGAAACACCGCGGGGACACCGGTGTCCGCACACCTATTGTTCTTTAATTGCGTCTATAATGACGGTACTCAAAGGGGGAAAAATCATCGAATGACTGCTCCTGCCTGGGTGAGGCGGGAGGGAGTGTCAGTCTCTTACTGACTAAAAACCACCCCGTTCCTTCTCCTGCACGTTGAGCCGGAGCCCCGGTAACCAGTTAGGTTCTCCGCGACGTTAGGTTTTCCGCGACGCGATCCCCGCCTACGGGGCTATTATTTTTTTCATGTTTATTTTTTTATGAAATGTGTCAATTTAAATATGGAATATTCTTTTATAAATTATCCATAGTCATCGTTATATATCTGTTTGATAAAGTATACGCGATTTTATTTGCAACTCTGGCTGAGCACCGAATAGTGGACCCTGTCTGTAGTTGCTTAATGGCTCATTGCTCTGCGAGACAGGGCGCGCTCTGACTAGTATATAGTAATCTGTGGGGCGCGCGCAGGTCGTGCCGTACGCTTGCCGGTCGTGATGCGTTCGTTTACGGTGTACGGAGATCAGCGTGTACTCCGCGAGTCCCAGAGCGTCTCCTACGGCTTGCGATCCGCCTCCTCCTTAACAATCATGATTGTTTTGCCATGATGACCAGATTAAAGAAAGAAATCATTTATTTGACACAGTGTAAAATCTAAAAAATATAAATAAATAAAAAACACTGTAGGTATTACAAAAATATATGTAAATTAAATTTTAACTATCCAATAAAAACAAGATGCAAGCAGCATTATGATGCGGTCAGAGCTGGCTTTCGCCAAATCTACACGCATCATGACATTTTTTTATTAACATTTACAATTTATATACAAAGTTCAATTATTCGTATCGTCATCCTGTTCTTGGGGCTAAACAGTGACTTGATGCTGGTCATATGCAATGTACTGAATGTCTCTCTTGTCCTCTCTCACGTAGACCACGTTGTGAACCAGAAACAGCAGGTAGATGTTCAGCCCTGAAAAATTAAGATAAATCGGCATTGTCAGATATTTCAAATTTTCTTTCAGCTGGATAAGGAACTATACATTTAACAGAGACTGGGCAGCAGCGCTTTCATTTAAAGATGAACCTTTCCCAACCAAGTTATTTAACCAAGTTATTTAACGACTGCCTCGTTGG